CCTGGGTTGCAGGTTTGATCCCCAGCCCCTGTCTGGGTTGTGTGGGAGGTGACCAACCCTCTCTCTCTTTCACTCTATCTAAAAAAATCAGTGGAAAAATATCCTCAGGTGAGGATTAACAAAAAAATATATTAAATAAAAATTTAAAAATAAAATAAATGGTCTAATTAAAAAAAAAAAGAATGATAGTGCTTGACCTATGCTCCTAAGAAAGTAGTTATGAGAGTCTAGTAAGGTGATGGATGTGGATGATTTGTAAATCACCACTGAAGGTGGTCTTGCCATAGAGGGAAGGAATCAGATCTGTGTTCCAATTTCAAATAAGCATCTTCTGTGAACCATTCTCATTGCCTGTAGAGTGGAGCATGTAAAACTGACTATTTTCGCCTGGCCGGTGTGGCTCAGTGGTTGAGCGTCAACCCCATGCACTAAGAGGTCACTGGTTTGATTTCCAGTCAGAGCACATGCCCAGGTTGTGGTCCTGATCCCCAATGGGGGGCATGCAGGAGGTGGCCAATCAATGTTCTCTCTCATCAATGTTTCTCTCTCTCTCTCCTTCTTCCTCCCTCTCTAATATTAATAAAGAAAAAAAATTTTTTTAAACAAAAAACTGACTGTTTTCAGGGAAAAGTTTGAATCTGTGACAGAAGACTTAGGTTCTAATCCAGTTGCTGCTAACTCACTCTGTGATTTAGGCAAATAACTACCTCTCTGAGTCTCAGTTTCTTCATCCATAAAATAGGAATAATACCTCCCTCGTTTTCCCCACTTGGAAAATGGGAATTATAGTTGCCCTTTTTTCTCCCCCTGCAAATGGAGATGGTAATAATAGCCAGTCTACTCTCAGCAGTGAAATAACTGGATTGCTTTACTCGTTTGCCTGCAGTATACACTTGACATATTTCACAGGATTTGGAGGTTCCGAAGAAACAGGAGTATGAAATTGCTCTGTGCAGATAAGTTCTAGATTGATATCAGACATCTCTCATTTGGTAAATATTTATGGAGTGTCTACTACATGACATTTCATGAGCGAGGGAAAGCAATATGGTTCCTATTCTCATGGAGCTTACAATCTAGGGGGGAGATAAATATTAATCAAGTAATTACACTAAAAGTTGATATAATAGGCATTACTCTTGAGTAAAAGTAATGTAGACATTCTTTCAGCTCCAGAACATAGCTGTGCTGTGAGTGACATTCCTTTCCCTGCAGAAGATCCAGAGGCTGTTAAGGTGGAGGAAATATTACCCAATTCTGGTTTTCTAGGTAGCGGCTTCCTAGAATCTGGAAGAGGCATTCCTTTCCTTTCTGTTCCATAGCATAAGTCAAAGATATTTTTAGCTTTTATCTTTGGAATTTCAATTTGGTCAAAATTAATATTGTTGGAGGGAGGGGGAGAACCCAATTTTTATAAAATGAAGATCTTGTCTCAATGCTAACCTATTGCGACTCTCACCATCACTCCAGAAGCTCGATGGAAAGACATGTTATCCAAGAAATACAGTAAGAGGAGCAAGAAGTGGTCAGACCCTGCAGTGGGCTGCTGGTGTTACACATCCCGCCTTCCAGCGGCTCCCTCCACTGGAACAAGGGAAGAAGCATACACTCTAGAAATGTCAGTGTGAGCCAGAGAACAGAATGCTTACTGAGTCCCATTGCAAAATTTGTTTTCCCAGAACCTTTAGTGGAACATTAACACTATTCATACTTGAGAAGATGGGATCTTTTCTTTCTTCTTCTTTTTTTTTGGGGGGGTTAATATTCACGCAAGGATATTTTTCCATTGAGTGGAAGAGAGGGAGGGAGAGAGAGGGAGAGAGAAACATCAATATAAGAGAGACACATCAATTGTTTGCCTCCGAACGCCCCTGAACAACAATGACTGGGGCCAGGGATCAAACCTGCAACCCACACATGTGCCCTTGACTGGGAATCGAACCCATGACCCTTCTGTCCAAGGGCCAACACTAACTGCTGAGCCGAACAGGCCAGGGCAAGATGGGATCTTTTCAATAACATCATTCTCACTTGCACCTTGCAGCAGCCATTCCTGGCGCTGAGAAATGCCTACTTGTTCCCCAGCTTCCCTTTCAGCATCTTAAAGACCAAAGTCAAACCTTATTTTTCTCCTGTATTGATTGCTTCTTTAACCTCTTGAGCTAATTTTTTTTTTACCCCTAGTTATATTGCTCTCTTCTTGGCTGGCTTTGAAATGCCCTACAGATCATTCTACTGATAAATACCTGCTGGGCAAAGAATTTATTATCATCTTTCAGGGCTTGTTCTCAGTTCCCAGCAGCACATTTAGTTTGCCAGTTGATGAGTCACTTGACAGGGTGACTGAGTCTTGAGTCTTGGGATACTAGTGCCTTTTAATATCCATTAATCCATCATTCATGCAAAGCACATATAGGGATAGTCTAGACCCCTTCCCTCTCCCATTAGTCATTTCACACCGCAACATTTTAGTTTGAAAAGGAGCAGCTTAGTTTGCATCCTAGAGGAATAGGACATTATTGGTTTTTAGAATATAAATATTCTTTCTTCCCTTTGGCTGAAATATCTGGATACATGGCCTGGGATTAAAAACTGAATTTTGGTTTAGAAGTAAGTTTCAGGACTGGATTGAGGATGGGTTATGGCTAAGGTCTGAAAGATTTTTTTTGTTTTGTTTTGAATCTGCCCAAGGATATTTTTTCCATTGATTTTTAGAGAGAGTGGAAGGAAAGGAGGGAGGAAGAGAGAGAGAAACACTGATCAGTTGCCTCTTGCATGCACCTTGACCAGGGCTGATGGTCGAGCCTGCAACCCAAGTATGTGCCCTGACTGGAAATCGAACCCACGACCTTCCAGTGCATGAGACAATGCAATACCCATTGAGCCACACTGGCTGGGCTGAAAGACTATTCTTGAAAGCTGAGCATAAAATTCTATAATCTGCATCTGGTTCAACCCAGTACAAGTTTCAAACCACTAAAGAGATATGGTGGGAATTTTAGATGTCCTCAGAACACTGTCAAATTCAACTGGCCCTTAATACTCCATCTAGCTCTGCATTTCTACCTGGATTTGCCTAGCCTCTGCTTCTTCACTCAGGCCTTTAGTGGTGCAGCTGGGGTGGGGCTCGAAGAGAGCTTTCAAAGCATCTGTCCAGGGATCCTGATCCCATCTTGAATAATAAGAAATAGACAAAAGAAAGCTTGGGAAGGAGCAGGTCAGTCACTTCCCCCACACTCCTACTCCTCCCCTGCCCAATACACACATCGCCAGCTGTTCAGTCCTTGCTGCTGGCCTCACTTTTCTGGAGAGACAGGCTCTTGCGTAGAGAAGCAGAAGCAGATTAGTGGAGAGAATGCTGGATTAAGCATCAGGAGACTGACTTCTAGCTCCAATTTTACCCATCAGTAGCTGCGGCATTTAGAGACAGCCACTTAACCTCTCTTGGTTTCTTAGTTTGTAAAATAGAGAAACACCTAAGCCCTGGCCAGAGAGCTCAGTTGGTTAGAGCATCTTCCCAATACACCAAGATTACAGGTTTGATCCCTTGTCAGGGCACATACAGGAAGCAACCAATGAATGCATAAATAAGTGGGACAATAAGTGGATGTTTCTCTCTCTCTCTCCCCCTTCCTTTCTCTAAAATCAATAAATTTAAAAATGTAAAAAACAACAAAATCCTGTTCTCTTTATAAAATAAAATAGAAAAATACCTGCCTTTCCTCGTCTTCCTGAATTCCATAGGTTGTTGTGAGGGTCACATGAAACAGTGGAGGAGAATGATCTTTGGAGGAATATAGTGCTGAGGCTTTGCATGGATTGCACTCCTACAAACCACTGCCAAAGAACTAGGACTGTTTTTATTTTTTTTTTTTGTTTGTTTTGTTTTTATCCTCACCCGAGGATATTTTTCCATTTTTTTGTACAGATAGAGTGGGAGGGAGAGAGAGAGAGAGAGAGAGAGAGAAACATCGACGTGAAGGGACACATCGAGTGGCTGCCACCCGCACGACCAACCAGGGCCGGGGACAAACTGCAACCGAAGTACGTGCCCTTAGCGGGAACCGAACCCGGGTCTCTCCGGACCGCAGGCCAACACTCTAACCGCTGAGCCAAACTGGCCAGGGCTAGGACTGTTTTTATAGGGTTGTTTCCTGTTTCTCTCCAAAGGTGGGGCAATTGTGTCTGGGGTAGAGGCCAGCCTCCAGGAGTGCTGTCCACACTCAAGGGTCTAGAAAACCCCCAGTCATGTGATATGGCCACAGTCTGTCCCTTTGGCTCACTTTTGAAGCTAACTGGCAGCTGGTCTCTGACAACATCCCATTTTTCCAGCCCTGTCGTTTCCAGCCAGTCTTAAGACTTTTGTCACCTTGGTCCTGGCCGGTTTGGCTCAGCGGTTAGAGTGTTGGCCTGCAGTCCAGAGAGACCTGGGTTCAGTTCCCGCTAAGGGCATGTACCTCGGTTGCAGTTTGTCCCCGGCCCTGGTTGGGTCGTGCGGGTGGCAGCCACTTGATGTGTCCCTTTCACGTCAATGTTTCTCTTTCTCTCTCTCCTTCCCACTCTGTCTGAACAAAAAAATGGAAAAATGTCCTCGGGTGAGGATAAAAAATAAAAAAAAGACTTTTGTCACCTTGGATAGACCATATGAAGTCCAGTCAGAGGATCCTGAGGTTCAATACCTATGCCAGCACTTATTACTGTGTGGATGTGGGCAATACACTTGGTGTCTCTGAGACTCAGTTTCCTCCTCTGTAACATGGGAGAAATTATATCTGACTCCATAGGCTTGTCCTAAGGATTAAAGAAGACATGTAGAGTACCTGACCACATTCCTGGTCTCTAAATGCCTATTATCTGCTCCTCTTTCCCTGCTTCTAAGAGGAATCACCTCTGCCTGAAGGTGATTCACGTAACCCAAAGGTATTTTAGAATCAGATCAGAGACCTAATCTGGTCCTGCTTCTTGTGTTGATACTACTATCTCCCTGGTGCCTCATGCAGGAAACATCATTGGCTCTGGAATCTTCGTTTCACCGAAGGGTGTGCTGGAGAATGCTGGCTCCGTGGGCCTCGCTCTTATCATCTGGATGGTGACGGGTCTTATTACAGCTGTGGGAGCCCTTTGCTATGCTGAGCTTGGGGTCACCATCCCCAAATCTGGAGGTGACTACTCCTACGTCAAGGACATCTTTGGAGGACTGGCTGGGTAAGAGGTTCTACAGAGACCTGAGTGGTCTAGGAAGCCAAGGCTGGGGGTCGCCAACGTGCTGAGGAGAGCTAGAGAATGGGATTCCTCTTTTGTCTTCATGTCATGCTTGCTAGTGAGGCCTTGTGTCCTCTTGATGCTTGTGAGAGGAACCAAGTTGTAGTTTGAATCTCTGTTGGCCTTAGTGGGCAAAATTCTATAAGTGAGAACAAATACAGTGATACCTCGGTTCTCGAACATAATTCGTTCCAGGAGGACAGTCGAGAACCGAATTGTTCGAGAACCGAAGCAATGAAACCAATAGGAAAGCGTGACTCCACAAAGCCTGACTCTCTCTCTGCACTCACACTGATGACGCAAGCAAGGCGCGCTGGGCCGAATGAACGCCATTCGGCTCAACTCGGTTCATCTCGGAAGTTCGAGTTCCAAATATTTGTTCGGATTCCGAGACAAAAGTTTCTCGAATCTCCTGGTCGAATACCGATTTGGTCGAAAACCGAGGCGTTTGAGAACCGAGGTATCACTGTATGATAACTCTGACTGGAGATTTCAAGGAAAAGCACTTCACAAAACAGAGCCCTTTTATCTTGACAAATGAGAGTGACCACCTAAGAGACAGAGGTACTCTCTTCTCACATTACCATGGATAATAGCCTCCCTCTAGAGCCAGGCTCTGATCTTGAATTTCCCCAGCTTTCGCAGCCCTGCTGCTGAAGAACTCAACCCCCACCCAGTGGGCCAAGCATGTGGAGGACACTTCCACCAAAAACACCTTCTCAATGCCTCCCCTGGCCGTTGCTCAAGTGGCCACACCTTTAGCATGTCCTGGCTTTTAAAATTCTGAGGTTGCAAATTTTCTTTTCCACCGTTGGATGCTGGGGGCCAGAATAGTAAAGAAGAGACAATGAAAGGAGAGCGAAGAGTGAAAGAATGCCAAGATGTGTGTTAATACTAGTTGAAACTTAACTCTTCATCATTAAACCATTTTATCATCATTGCAGAGGGCTGGGTGTCTCATTTCAGGGGGCACTGGGCTCCTTAGCATCTTGGAAACAAAAAAGGAAATGCATCTCTTTAGCCCACCTGCCTCTCCTAATGCTGCCCCATGACTTGCCCAGGCTTCCCCTGATGACTTCTGAATTCCTGCCATGCTTTCAGTGGGGGTGAGGGGTCTCCATTGCTGTCTTGGGTCAAGTCCTGTCCTGTTTCCCCTTCAGGTTCCTGAGGCTATGGATTGCTGTGCTGGTGATTTACCCCACCAATCAGGCTGTCATCGCCCTCACCTTCTCCAACTACGTGCTACAGCCACTCTTCCCCACCTGCTTTCCCCCAGAGTCTGGCCTCCGACTCCTGGCTGCCATCTGCCTACGTAAGTGCCATTTGGGCCTTGCTCTCAGGATAGCCTCTTTTAGTCTTCCTAGTGGTCGCCATGTCTCTGCTTCTTCTTCCTCTCTCTCTTTCTTTTCTTCACTCTTTTACTTTTTTCCTACCTGTGTGCTTTGGATGAATGAATTCTGCATACAATTACCTGGTGTTAAAAAAAAGAAGAAACGTAAGTAGCTGCTCAAAGGCACAGTAATCTTCATTGGCAGCGTTCTTTATACAAAGCACTTTCACTTATATGATCTGATATGAGCAAATGACAAGCTGAGCAGTATTATCATTTTTCTTAGTACAGATAAGGAAAGGGAGCCAAACAGTGACTCACCCAAAATGGCAGGGCCTGAGTGGAACCCTGGTGTCCTGAGTCCTTCTCTTCCCAGCACACACATTGTTCTGAAGACTCCTGCTGCCCATAGGAAGATTTTTCTGGCATTGTCCACCTCTACCTCAACCTGGCAGCTCACATCTTAAAACTCTTTGGATGGAGAGTGTAGAGATGTGAGTTGGGGGGAAATAAATGAATTGTTTGTGGTTCCTTGATAAGATTTCTGTCTAACTGGGGAGAAAAGCCATATAGAAAGATTCTGTGGTTAGGATTCAATTGCAATAAAAAGTCAAGGAAGGGAGAAAGATTTCTGTCAGCTGGAATAGGTTAGAGAGGCTTCATAGAGAAGTTTTCCAACCTATATTTCTAGGAAGTTTCAACATTTTTGTTGTTGTTGTTAATCCTCACCTGAGGATATGTTTCCATTGATTTTAGAGAGAGTGAAAGGGAGGAAAACAGAGAGAGAGAGAGAGACATTGATTGGTTGTCTCTTGCACGACCCCCAACCAGGGCCGGGGATCGAACCTGTAACCCAGGTATATACGTGCCCTTGACCAGAATCAAACTCGAGACCCTTTGGTCCTCGGGCCGTCACTCTAACCACTGAGCAAAGCTGGCCAGGGTGGAAATCTCAGCATTTAATCTCTGATATCAAGCATCTCAATGGATTGGGGGTATTTTACATCTTTCAAACAAAAACTAATTTATACAGTAATATTTAGATCTTTCAGAAGCTCTGCTTCTAGAGTTAGCTCAGTCTCTGCCTTCCCATACCTTCCAACACACATTTAGCTGGGGATAGTGACTACCCTGGCCACACCCTTTCCCAGGTCTTAACACTCTCCTTCTGTCATGCTGGTGGGATGGGGCAGGAGGGATAACTCACCCATGCCAAAGCTCTCATAGGACAGCCAGCTGGGCCCCAAGTGGTGGTCTCCTTGGCAAGTGTGCCCTCTTTGGCAGTGATGTTCAGTCCTGGGATGGACCCCTATCTTCAAGCAAGTGGTACTGTGGGGCCAAGACAGTTGTTTGATCAGGCCTGCTCATGGATCTAGAGAGGCTTGTGGGCTCCAGAACCAGGCTGCTGGAGACTGCATCTCAGTACCACTTTCTAACTGCTATGAGTGCTTGGCAAAGCAACCCCCACCCACCCCACAGTAGAGTGTGGTTGCAAGGACTGAATGAGACAGTTGGGCACCTTGTGGCCCAGCCATTAGTCAATGAAGGTGGTCAGTGAGGGTAGTCACTCGGTCCTTATTTGCTAGCTGGATCTAGAGCTAGAAGAGGTGGGGGAGGGGGAAGAAGGCGTGGGAATGCAAAAGAGTTGCTATTTCTGCCTTCAGACAGGCTAATGGGAGTTAGAAGGGGGACCACATGAGTGCTGGCTACTGCTATTTCAGTGTCTCGTGCACACAGACACTGCTTCCTCTTTCCTGCTGATGCTGCTCAAGTGTCTCAGACAAGAGGCTACCTTTACCCTCCAACCAGAAATCGAGACTCCTGAGGCTGTTCAGGCCATTCCCTGAGAAACCAGGCCACTGCAGGGAGTTCTCTGAGCAGCTGGACCCCACCGCTTCCTTTGCGTTCCCCAAACCCATCGAGGGTAGCTGACGATTTCGCAAAGACCTTCTGGAGTAATATAGCCTAGCATATATCCCCTTAGGGCAGAGAGGTACAAACCCTCCCAAGAGATGAGAATTGCTCCTGCCGATAGCCCAGTTCCAGAAAGACAGGTTTGTATGTGGTTCCTTCAGCAGCCTACACCTCATCAGGACACTGTGAGCACCAAGCCAGGAGGAATTTAGAAACTCTAATGACAAAAATGATAAGATCTTCCCTTCTCCTGATTCCTGACATCAAAGGTTCAAGAAAGCTTATCTGGCCTGTCCTCTGCCTTCTAAGTAGAACTGCAAAGAAATTATGAACAGCCTAACAGAAGTCTGTCTTGCCCTCCAGAGATAGGAATTTTTCAATGTCCTTAAGATATGTGTTCAAATACTTTTCCACCTTCATAAAAAGAAAGGATTTCTTAAACCCAAACTTATCCCTCCTGATTTCCTTGGGGAAAATGCAAAACAGTTCCTCATTTCACCTTGTGCACTACCCGTGACCTTCCAGATGTGAAGGCCATGTAGAGTCCCCAACTTATCTCTCCACAGGGGTGCCCATGGCCACTGGCTGTAGCCACACACCCACTCTTTCTCACCAGACACTCCCAGATACTTTGAGTCTGTGTGCAAAGGTTCTGATTTCTGGATCATTGAGTACTTTTTTTAGGGAGGGGGAGCCCACTTTTACAGGCCTCTCAAATAATCTCTTAAGGTATCCAGTAAAATAAATCAGAACCGGGCTGTCAGGAAGGCTTAATGGAGTCTATCTGTCATTAAATGCTGATATATTTTATTCCAGCACCCCTCTCACCACCATCCAGCCTCACCCCATCCTCCTAGCAAGTGCCAGGCAAGCCAACAGTATAGAATAGGCCCAGTGTTCCCTGGCAGTAGAGCCGAGATTGGCCCAGTCCAGCCATATTCTTAAGAGAAGCAGTAGAGAGCTTGGGGGTGGTCTGAATGTACTGCTATAAGAAGCTCTGCTTTCTGCTGTGTCATTTTGGCATGCTGGTGTGTAATGGAGGGCATCGGGTTGAGGGAGCTGGAGGACTGGGCAGGAGCTCAGCGGGGAGAATCCGTGTAGCAAAGCCCCTGGCTGGGGTTTGCTGTTGGAGAGAGGAGATGAGGTCAAATGTGGTTCCATGGGGCGTTATTAAAATAGATCAGATGAAAAATGATGGTAGACGAGCCTGATGGGGGTGGAGAGGCAGAAAGAAACTGCTGTAACTGGCTTGCCTGCTTGGAGTCTGGAGCGGGTGTGGAGGAGAGGAGAGGGAGAGAGAGAAGGAACTGCGGATTTGGATCAGGCTTATGCAACTGCAGCTGCCACTTTGAGTTATTTTATGATTTAGGTCAAAGCTGATTATTCACTGCTGAGTCAGCAGAATGTTCCTAGCCACCAGCCAGTAAAAAAAAGAAAGTGCTTTACGTTTTAATTAAATGAAATGCCTTTCTCCCTTCTCCAGAGCAAGCATATTAGTGGGAGGAGCGAGTTAGGAAGGAGGGGAACGGGTGTTAAAACTTTGTTTGGGTGCCATCTTTTATGATTTATTTGTGTTTCTTTTATTTTGTATTTCATAAGTAAATAATTATATTCTCTAAGTAAAGGACAATCCCCTTATCTTCACCCCTCTCTCCTGCCCAGGAGTCTTGGTAACAGTGGGTGGGTATCCTTACAGTTCTAAATAAAATGCATCTAGTGATGTACGGATCTGGGTATACAGACATCCATGTTGATAGGTTATTTCTGCAGCTTGCTTTTTTATCGTGTAGCTGCCTCTTTTGGCCATTACCTAAGTTTCTGGTTATAAACAAAGTGGTCCCAGTGACACAGAGGAGCACAGGTATTCTGGGGTCCCCCACTTGAGCTTCTTGCTTCCTAAAACTGGGTTTTCCTTTGGGATGTTTGTACCTCCTCTGTTGGGGACCAGACCACCTTTCACTCAGGCAGCTTCCTGGCCTCCTTCCTCTCTTTGGGGACTGAAGTCACGTCCAGTATCTGAAGCAGATTTTTTTCTTCTCGTTCAAGTTCCCCTCTTGTCTCTTAATGCCTTATGCTAAAGAAGTTTCTCTTCTTTCCCACCCCGAAGAGAACAGAGTATTGTGCATGAGTTTCATAAGTAAAAATGCTTCTTATCTTGTTTTCTATCTCTTTACTGAGATTCCTAATAAGCTAGTTTTCCAGGACTTCAGATTTTTTTCTTCTTCAGGACTTCACTGTATACATTGCTTTTAGCCCTGAGTTGCTCAGCAATTCCTCTACAGAAAGAATAGGGGACTGCAAGAAAGTTTCCAGGTGCTCGATACAAGATGCTGTGATAGATAAACTTATGTGTGCTGGTTTGCGTGTCTCTTGCAAATTAATCCCTTGACATCAGAGGATTCCACAGTCTTTCCTAACATCTAAACCCCATAATCTCGGTTCATTTTCCTTTGAGGCTTCATACTCTCGAGCCCCAAACTTCTCATCCCTGGGCACTAAACGTATTGCCTCAGATGCCTGGGCAGCACTATCTTCCTGCCCTTCCCTCATCCCCAGAGAGTTCTTTGGGTGTCTCATCAGCCTTATATACATATATAAATCAGGACAAATTCAGACTGGCCTAGATTTGATTCCCATATATCTAAGCCCCCTTTTTTCTGTACATCTTCTAACTAGCCAACATTTAAAATATAAATGTATTAAAAATCTCTTGGTTTTTACACAATAATCAATTTGACTAAAATCCCATTTATTATTATTATAATGCGTTAAGATAAAAATTACTTTGTAAATGGATTTTCTAGAAAAAAAAAGTAAAGAAACTGCAAATCCAACAGTTAATTACCATATTGAATTCCTACACTGAGGTGAGACGGGGCATTATTTATACAGTCTTGGAAGAGATTAAAGACTAGTGAAGAGATTAGTGCACAAACACATAATTACAATACAAAAGGTGCTTCAAAATTGGGAGAGGTGTGTTAGGGAAGGCTCCCAGATTGAACTAAATCTTGAAAGGCAAGTAGGTAGGTTCTAGATCAGCGGTTCTCAACCTGTGGATCTTGACC